AAAATTATCATTCATTGAAAATAATACATAACAATTATTTCTTTTCTAGAAGTCCAATAAAATATAGAATCAGATATCTTTTAAATTATGAAAATAACTCCAAAATGGTTGTACAAATAACATTCAACTTCTACATGTTTTCAAGTTCTTCTTTAATTTACACCATTCTAATTTTGATAATGGTTTTCTGCATAAAATTTTACACTTCTAAAGATAAACACTAATATTACACTTGAAAACGATTCCAAAACATTTTTATCTAAAAAGCCTAAAATAAACTTTTTTTCAAATACACTACCAATATTTTTGGCTTATAATTCATTTATATAAATTCTTAATATCTTTCATGATTTTAACTGAAATAATCATACTAATCAATATTACTAAATCATCATATTTAATTTAAAACAATCCAGTAGTTATGTATAACCACACAATTCATACAATGTCAACAATTGTTATTATAAGAATTAAATTTTTTTTTATGAGTTTTAGTATAATGTGCTTTAAATTAATGAATAAAGAAATTTTAAGATTGGATAAATCTTTAAAGTTGGAAAAAGGAAAACTTAACATTTCATTCCTCATTTATTAAAAATACTAACTCTTTTAAGTTTACAATTAATCATACTAAGTCATTGTCCTCGTATTGTATGTAAATGACAAAATAATGCTACCTTGTTTCTACTTAAAATCTATATCTACTACAAGGCATAAATATATTAAGTTAGGTATTTTTTTCTATCATATTAACAAAAAAACTTCTTTAGGTCTTAATATATCTTAGTCACATCAAGATGCATAATAAATATACTTTTATTATGTTTATGAAGTATTATCTTTTTCATTTCTTCGTCAATAAGAATATACACTCTAATATGAAATATCAATACTCAAATTCCCCCTTTCCCCACCTAGAAACTAAATAGTTATTGTGAGCATACTATAACTAACGTGATAGGAAGATAGTCCCACCCCATGTTCATATATTTTAACCTCTTTATCAATCAACTCTTCAATCATCATAGTTGATATTTAAATGATCTCCCTGCTTAAGACATCAATTATCATGTTTGTCTTTCGTGTATGATAATTCAACTAAAAATCAAAATCTTTTTAGAAATTTCATCCATCTTCTAAGTCATATGTTTAACTCTTTTTGATTGAATAACCTCATACTCTTGTAGTTATTAAACACCTCAAATTAGGAACAACAAAGATAGTATCTCTTTATTTTTCAAAGCAAAGACCATTGTTATTAATTCTAACTCATACTTGAGATAGTAATTCTCATGAGTCTTTCTTTGGTTTAAACCTACAAAGGGATATATTGTTTATGATCTTCAATATCACTCCATTAATATCTCTCAGAATGTTGTGTTTTATGAGGATTGTTTTTCATATACTAATGCTTTGTATAAATTCCCTTATGCTCCTGATTGTTCTCTGCCTATTGATTTGAATATTCTTGAAATTGGTAATTATACTGATGTATGTAATAATCATTCTGAAATTGTTCTGCAAAATGATAATGAAAATTTTGTTATCAGAAAATATACCAGGACCAAATATATGCCTAGATATCTTAGTGATTATCATGTATCTTTTATCAAGACTAAGTATCCTATTGAATTTCATGTTTTTTTAGCTAATATGTCTTCATCTTTTAAAAAGGTTATTTGTCTATTGATACTAAGTCAGAACCAAAAAGTTATGATATAGCTTTTAAACAGGATAATTGGATTAATGCAATGAAAGATGAGCTTGATGCTTTAGATAGAAATAACACTTGGATCGTTATTACTTTACCTAAACGAGAAATTCCTGTTGGATGTAAGTAGGTTTAAGATTAAACATAGGGTAGATGCGACCATAGAAAGTTATAAAGTCAGGCTTATAATTAAGGGATCACCTAATTAGAAGGTCTTGATTACATTGAGACTTTTTCTCTGATTGCCAAAATCAGTACTAGTTGTTTTCTTTTGTCCTTAGTTGTTGTTTATGGTTGAAATTTAAAGCAAATATATGTAAACAATTCTTTTCTTCATGGAGATCTTCTTGAAGAAGTCTGTATGATATTGCCATCATATTTGAAACAAGATCAAGAGAATCGAGTTTGTCACTTACATAAATTTATTTATTGTTTAAAGCAGACTAGTAGGCGATAGTATGTCAAACTTTCAGATTTTCTTTTCATGCATGATAATAAACAAGCTAATGTTGATCATTCCTTATTTTTAAATTCAAAAGATTATGATATTATAACATTATTGGTTTATGCTGATGATGTAATTCTAGTCGATAATAACATTATTGAAATTGAAAATATAATTGCTCTTCTTGATCAAACTTTCAAGATTAAAATTGAGGAGATTTGATTTATTTTCTTGGTTTCAAGGTGGCAAGAAACAAAGATATAACACCTTTTGCAGAGAAAATATGCATTAGAGCTCCTTAATGAGACTAACATGTTTGGATCTGCACCAACTACCACCCTTATGAATTTCTCTAAATGGGTCTATTCTTCTTTAGGCGAGCCCCTTGTTGACTCCACTTCATAAATAAGACTGATTGAGAAGCTAATTTATAATACCAACATCATACCTAATATCACTCATGTGGTTCACCATCTTAGTTGGTCCATTGTTGCTCCTACCACTTATCATCACCATGCTACCTTGAGGATCTTAAGATATTAGAGAGGTTATCTTAAAAAGGAATTTTGTTTGTTGCTAACAATAGTCTCCAACTAAAAGCTTTTAGTGATGTTGACTAAACTGGATGTGTTGATACTTGTCAATCTATCACTAACTGCATTGTCTATCTCGATCATTTTCCAATTTCTTGGAAATCGAAAAAGTAACCTACAATTTCTAGAAATTTGTCTGAAGCAGAATACAAAACTCTTGCCTCTACTACATGTGAAGTTCAATGGCTCTTCTACATTTTGAAAGATTTTCATGTTCTATACATAAAGTCATTTTTCTTGTATTACGACAATCAATATGTTGTTCATATTGTCTCAAATCAAAATTTTCATAAGTGTATCAAACATATAAAAATTGATTATCACATTGTTAAATAAAAAGTTTAACAAGGCACCATCAAATGTAAGCTCCAAATATAATCCAAAGTTTCACCTTCTTCAACTTTTCATATTCACATTTTCAAGGTGGGAATAATTGATATCTATTTCGAATTTGAGGAAAATTGTCAGAAACTCAAAATTATTGATTCTAAATATTAATCATAACCATTGTTTTTCTTGCATCCAAACCAAGCTCTGAGCCGATGGTCTTCTTCTCCTCCATGCTTGGGTACCCTTCTCATTGCTCGGCACTTCACAACTCTTTTACAAGCTATTTTTTTGTTTTTGTTTTATTCTCTCTGATTTAATAAAAGTCTTTTTTTTTTCTCCATGTCCCATATATTTGTTTCTTTTTCTTTCCTGTTTATTTTTTTCCTATTCTCATCTTCCTTTTTTTTTTCTTTGCCATCTCTACTATCGCACGAAAATTTTCAAGATTTGAAATGCCTTGATGTTGTGCAAACTGACAATGATAAAGTAAATGAATCATTTAGACTTTAGATTATATATATATATATATATATATATATATATATATATATATATATATATATATATATATATATATATAAAAGAAATAAATATTTTTTTCAATGAAGTAAATAGTTTTGGAATAATAATAATCAAATTAGTTAACAATATTATGGTAAGTTAATTATTTACGATTAATATTAGTTTTTATCAAATATTAAATCTATTAATTGACTTTTAAATTATCAAAAAACTTAGACTATACAATTCCATAAAATTTATAGTTTATAATAAGTTGAATATTTATAATTTAATAAAAAATTTAAACTACATATTTTATAAACAATTATAGTTTTCTTAAACCTCAAAAATATAGACTTTGGTTATTTTTATCAATGTCTAACAAGGCCTATCAATCGAAGTAATTTACAATGATATCATAAAATGATTTGAAATGAGTCATTTACCTTCATTTTCAAATAAAATGAATCATTTTCGACTTAGCTTTTGTGAATTGAAACGGGACCACAATAATGCCTTATTGATTAATCACTTCTAAATGTATCCCACCTCAAATCAAAATCTTTTATAATTTAATATTATCCATCTCTGATCGAAATCAAAAGATAAATTTATTAATAAATAAATTTTATAAAGAATTCAGAAACTTATTTTAAAAAATTAAATTTTTCATTTGGATTAAATAATATTTAAAAATTTAATTAATAATTAACTAAATTTTAACTTTAATCATCTTTCAATTTATGATGTGCGGTTTTTGTCTTTCTTTTTATTAAAAAAATAGTTTCACATTTCACAAATTTACATATTTTTTTATATTTTAATTATTTTTAATAATTTAGAACTTTATTAAACCAAAAGCTATGAAATAAAAATTATGAAAATAAAAAATTGGATTTTAAAATATGAATGAGAAAAAAAAGACGAAAAATATATATAAAAAGTTAAAATAGATATAATTGTAATTTAATCTTAATTATTCATGATAAACGAACATTTTATTTTATTTTATGAAAAACGTGTTTGACTTGGTAGGGCGGAATAAGAGGCATACGAAGGCGTTGCATGGAGCATAATTGACAGCTCATTTCCAATTAAAAAAAAAACTGAGGATCTAGTGGAAGAGGATAAGGTCAAGTAATCATATAAAAATAAAAATAAAAACTGAAAACAAATTCATACAACGTTGTTCCATACCTTATCCACAACATTTTAACCTCCGAAAAAAGAAACCACGTAATATTCTAGAAGCCAATTAGCTTTTCAGTTTTTCTTGCCAAAATTATAAATACGCCAACAAATCTATAAAGATCGCTATGTCGTGTGCTTGTGTCTATCCATTCCATTTCCAAAGCACTCTCTCTCTTGCTTTCTCTCTCTATTGGGTTGGTTTCTTTTCTTTGTTTCTCCTTGGGAATTGATGATTTCACGCGCTGCCGTGTTGTTGGACGCGCCAGGGGGAGGTGCGGCGGAGGAGGAGTGTAGTACGTCGTCGTCGTCTTCGATCGGGAGGAACAGCGATGTGTCGTCGGAGGGATCAATGAAGGAAGGAGAAGACGAGGGGGAAAGTGCCTACCATGGACCTTTGCATGCTATGGAAACCTTGGAAGAGGTTCTTCCCATAAGGTAACTACATACCCATGTTCGTTTCTTAATTTTTTTTTTGGTCAATACCGTTTTATCCAGTGATATTAGTTTTAGATCCTTCACTTTAATTTGCATAAAATTAGTTTTTTTTTTATTGGGTCAAATAATTTCATTTGTAAGTTATTGATTCTTTTTTGAGAGATGATAATCATCAACCCAAATTGCAGTGGAAATAGGAGAGATAGGAAGGAAGAAGAAAAATAGAAAGAGGTGATCTATGTAATAAAGGAAGAGAAATAAGAACAAATATTGAGCTGAGAATGAGGGACGAAGTGAGTGTATATCACAATTTTTCTTATTTTCAACAGTTGGAAATGTTCATTTTTGTGGGAAAATAGCCGAACTAGAATGTTAAACTACCAATTGTTGTATTAATTTGTTTTCTTTTTTGTCTTTGAGAAGTGGAAATATTGAATTATGCTAGATGTACCCATCAACTAGTGTCTGATGAAGTTTCTACTGCTCTGGGTGTTGAATTTGAATCTGAATCTGAATCTGGTCTTCCCAGAAATTCAGCTATAAAGTTGTATCATGTAAGATTTTGCCGAAAATAGTTAAAACTAATAGATTTTGGCCTTATGGCCATCATATAAACTCGGCTTCTAATTCTTGTAAGGACTACATCAAATATGAGTAAACATTCCCTTCAAACTTAACATAATGTAGGTGCTAGAGACTAAACATTACCTAAATATACGGCTAATTTGACAAACGTGTTGTTGCTCAAATTTTATCTATCTGTTGTTTTGTCTTATTTCTGATGATGTTTGGAATTAATGATATGGTTGTGGTTGTGCAGGAGAAGCATCTCAAAGTTTTACAATGGCAAGTCGAAATCATTCACCACCCTGGCTGATGCAGTATCTTCCCCATCGGTTAAAGACATTGCAAAGCCAGAGAATGCCTACACCAGGAAGCGTAGGAATATGATGGCATTGAATCATGTTTTGGACAAGAATAGAAACTACCCTCTAAGATTCAGTGGCGGTGGCATTTGCAAGAGATCAATCAGCTTGAGTAGAAGTACTCTGGCTCTTGCTTTTGCCATGAACAATTCTGACAGCAGTAGTAGCATCACAAGTGAAGACTCCGGTTCGAGCTCAAACTCGATACCATCACCTTCATCGTTATCATCACTTCCACCACTTCATCCTAGAAATAGAGTGCCTTCTGGTACAGGCCCATCCTCTCCTTCGCAGCGAAATTTCAGTCCCCGGAGATCATTTTCCGTGGCTGATCTGCACCAGCATTGTGCCATTGCTGCAACCATGAAGATTTCAAGTACTTCCATTGGAAATAAAACAGCTCATCCATCATAAAGATGATAACAAACTGTGTTAGTATTAACGTTTAGCTTATTTATTTGAATGAAATATCTTGCTCTAGTCCTATTTGTAGGAGGAAGCAAGTTGTGTAGAAAACTCGCTTTTTTGCGTAATCTCTTCAAATTAACTTCAGTAGGATATAATATGGATGGCCCCAGAACATTAACTCTTCCCTCATCTGTTTCCTACGTTGGTAATAATCGACATAAAAATGGTAATCTTAAATCTTTTTACTTGGTATTTGTGACAAAACGTTCAAAGGCCACCCAGATTGGCAAAGGGCATTGTCCACTTAATGAATGAATGTTGAGAAAACATGGGTGATTGTAATGCGTCATTGCCATTGTCTGTCTACTTTTATAAGTTTAAACCAAAAGAAATATGTGCCATTGAAGACCTCCCTCTCAATATTTCCGTATCATCGACATTTTCATTTTTTTTTTCGCTATCAAATATTTAGCATTTTAATTATTAAATGTTTACTCATTAAATATGATTTTACTTTAAAAAAATCAAATCGACTTATTCACGGGAAACATTGAAAATTTTAAATCAAAACAATTTTTATTTTATCAAACTTTTTTTCTGACAGCAAATCTTCTTAAATTTTAACATCTGCGCACAACTTCTAAAATAAAAAAATATCAGATATCACCTTTTTTACTGTTTCTGGATTGGCAACTGGCATAAATATCTACGGATAAAGGGAATGTTAAACGTTTTACATGATCTCTATATTAACTGAGTCCCACTAGTTTTTTTTTTTTTTTTTCATAAAGCCATGTCTACTTTTTGGCAGTCTCAAACCAAAACTGACATAAACCACCACAGAATGAGGGATGGATTAAACTTACACCTTTCACATAGGAACATAAATGAAAAAAAGAGGGAAATAAATAGTTTAATCTTCGAATGAAGTATTGTGTGCTAGTCTGTCATCTGCTGCCAAATCACGTCAACAATCAAACGGATCCAAAACAATGACCATCTCCATTCCAATTGGAACAAAATCAAGGTATATACAAAGAGAATGCTTTTATTAGTGGTATTTATAGCACGAAATGCCCGCACTGTGCTTCAAAGCACAAGGGGCAACAAATAGTGAAACTAAATTTGGAACTTGCATGGGCAAAAGATTTAATGGGGGCTAATATATACATGAATGAATGAAATTTCATTTGGCCTAGTTACAATTGCATACCTACATAGAATACAACATAAAAATCAATAATAAATATACCTAAGTGAGTGGACGGCAAAATAATAAAGGCAGCATTTCAAGCTTGCAATGTCATCTATATACTACGGGTAGTTACAAAATGTTGGTTGAACTATGTAATGTAAGCGGAAATTACCAATCAACCAGAGAATTAACTCTTCCATCTCTGAAATCTTATACAGCCATGTGCAGTGTAACCATAATTTGATGACAACCAAGATTGCTGTCCAAGTAGGAGAAACTTGTGTTTCCAATGCAGATACCGTAGTGGCATTGTCATCAAAATCCAGAGATGAAATATTGAGCCAGAGTGTCAAGCCAGTCAGTTGTTACGATCATGAAATTGTAGACCGGTTACTTCTGATGTGAACTGAGAAACTGAGCGCAGGAATATTCAGACACGAATTCTGGAAGATGAATCTCATCAAGATCTATGGCAGGAATAGCCATATCTATGTCTTCAGCAGAAAAAGGAATGCTGAAGCCAAAAAATAAGGTTAAATAAGACAAAAGAATCACAAACGGTGGTTGTTTGACTCTTGAGGTGCAAATACAGTTCTTTATTACGAATCTAGTGCAATTTATCATTTAATTTCTGAAATGGTGTAAGGAATCATGCCTTGCAACTTTTTATTTGTAAGATGTATGCAACAAGCCATATGCAGGACTTATATGCAGATTGTTAAAGAGTACTGCAAATTTATTTTATTAGTGAAGGTTTAGATGTGTGGTCTCCAGCCTACTCGTTTTTATTCTAACTGAATTGAATAAAGTTCATATTTTTTTCTCTCTCCAACTCGCCGCCATATAAAAAAAAAAAAAAAAAAACTTGAAAAGAACATGTTTGGAGGTATTATAATTTCAATTTTAAAAAAATAGAATAAGAATCAGCAATTCAATTCAAGTAAAAAAAGGCCAGAAAAACTCAGAAGCAAGGGAAATCATTCCTACTGATTCATCCAATAATCATATGTTAAAACTGCAAGTGAAAAGAACTTGGATGGGAGAAGGTAGTGTACCTCAGATCATCATCCAATAAGAAAGAATTTGATGTCAGATTTTGATTGTCCTTGCTGACAATTTCTCTCATTTCACTAACCACCTGTTTACCATATATTCTTCAGAACTCTAAAATGAACTACAATAATGGTTGTCTTTTGAATCAATTAAAAACACCACTTGCCTCATTGGACACACTTTGGGTTCCATACTTGTCATCCCAGTACATCGTACTGATTCGATAGATTTGCCTCACTGTCAATGCCTGTTGTAGAAATGAATAGCTTTATTTCCAAATTTTATATGCTTAGACGAACTGTATATCAAGAGTATTGTACTCATAACAAAACACATGCAAGACATCCGACGTATGCTAACAAATGGGATAAAAGGAAGATCTTTGCAATGAATGAAATCAAACGTGCTCCCGACAGTGGAAGGAAGGTCATTGACTATTAGTTCCATATTCTTAGAACGGTTAAACATTAGAGGCACTGCTAGTGAAGATACCAGCATAATTGTCTTAAATGCATTACTATTAATGATTGAGTAAAATTTTTAGTCAATAACTCTGCTGTTGTTATCTGTTAGGAGAGAGGAAATTAATCGGAGAGGAAAGGTGGTGGAAGGGAATAAAGTTGGAAAGACAGAGGGAGAGAACCAAAAAGAATGCACTTTGAAGTGTCTGCACTATCCTTCTCGTCGAATCATGGATTATATTTCACTGAACCATACTTCATACAATAATAGGTAGAAATAGGAAAGGGAAAAAAAATTTATACACTAATCCAATGCTGCAAAAAAGGAGAATATTTTTCCTATAAATGCTATATAATTAAATAAGGAATAACACAGATTCTAATTACAATTAATTTTTTATATAATCTATACTCAAATCAGAATCTATGATTCTGATTGATTTAGGCTGTGATTCTGATTGATTTCTTATTTCTTTTATTACTGCGTGATCTCAGGAAATGTGTACACACATTAGTTTCTGGCGTTCTCACCATCAACGCCAGTATAACAGGGATAGAAGTTTCTGTAGAAATTCAATTAAACAGTCACCTATTTTAAATGTTCTATCTTATTAACTTCAATATATCGTTTTTCATAATATCAAATTTCTTTTACCCCAATTTGCAAGAAAGTGCTCCACCTGCACATTTAATCTGTTAGAAACAACAGGATTCAAATAGCCATGGCCCATGGATCTTTACGTTACGTCTTGAATTATAAAACTAAAAAAATTGATCCATGAAAGACTGAAGTTAGATAGATAGCATTGCAACAACAGATTTTGGTGAATATGATAATCATACTGGCCAGTCTGATAATATGATAATCATACCGGACAAAGATCTTGCCGAATCTCTTCCAAAGATTTCTTCCTTTTCTGATGAATTACCTGTGTAATTCAAACAAAGGAAAGTATAGATAAGAGATAGCAGTTCTGTTTGATACCATTCAAAGTCCACCCAAAATAAGACAGTTTTTATACCAAGAAGCCTACAGCTTGTCGTATGTAATTCAACTCATGCCAGGATGTCCCTGCATACTACATTTCAATGGTACTTAGTCAAACCCATAAAACTAAAATTTCAAAAGAAGTATCAGCAGTCTCAGTCTACCTCCTCCTTTGCATTGACTATCCACTTCTCCAGTTCAGCTAGACCAGACTTCACATATTCACCATTTGAGAAAGTGCAACACTCTCGACGCAAAAGAAGACTAAAAATTGAAGGATTTAGAAAAACGAAAAAGTTGAACAAAGGAAAATCAACTAAACAAAGCAAATTAGTGACTTGAAGCTACATGAAAAATGCTTTTACCTGTTGAAGAGTGTTATATTGATGAAGGAAAAGACCTGGGTAACCAGTTTACGGATGAAGAAGGATGGCACCTGAATAAGCATGATTAGGCAAGACATAAGAAAATTAGATAGAGTGATTAGTTGATACTTGTTAACACTGACAGAATAGTCAAAATCCACAACTACAGAAATCATCATTTATTTGTACTCCAAATTACAACATATGTTCCAAACCACCAAAAAATCAACATGCACTGCTTACCGGTTGCTTATAAATTTTTGTTTGATACAGAAGTCAAATTGTGTCACACCAAAGCCTCAATTGAACGAATAGTTTCAATAACTCTGATAATATGTAGTATATCAGTTTTTCACGATGTGGGCCCAACTTCCCATCATTCCATTTTCATTTTTCCATCCTCAATTAACTCACATTACTAGGAAGTATGAATTTACTCTATAATCTCAATGTAGCCCCACCCACTTGAATCCCATGGTTTACATATCCCCTTCTATTCTCTCTCATGGTATGATGGACCCAAGATGTGACTCATGATATGGTATGGCTTCAGTTTTCAGCCCTAAAACCAGCTTTACTGTGCCTCCTGCTAAACTTACTTCACGAACAGCAGTATTACATATGAATAGTCTTTTATTCAAATTGCAACATTTAGTTTCCTCTTAAAATTTCTTTCTCAATAGATGTGCAAGAAATGACAATAAACAAGAGATAGATTATAAAAGAGAAATGGAATGTATAATAGGGTAGAAAATCTAGGAAGCAAATTGCATGATGAAATATTTGATTGTGGTAATGTAAAATCCAAATCACTCAAAATAAAAAACGAGGAAAAGGGTTAAAGAAACCATTGAGAACTGGCCATCACAAAAGAAGAGTAGAAAGAGAAAAAATGTTAATTTTTACAAGTCAATGACTTTCATCCTATTAGCCCCTTTTGGGTGTGGGGGTGGATCAATCCAGCCTATAAAATTCAAATAAATATCAAACAGATATCCAATTATGAAGTATATCTGTTGAAAGCATATATACACATCAAGTTTCAGTTTATTACGCAACCATTTACAGGGTTGTATAGCACTAGAAAAGAGGACAGAAAGGATTCAAGAAAAAATTAAAGGTGCACAAAAAATATACAGAAAAACTAAGCCTCAGTTGTAATTATGAATGTAGTAGACAAGAATAAAACAAAAGGTGAAAAATATACAATTAATTAACCAGACACAGGAACAAATTAAAGGACCGTTGAAACAATACAAAACTTACATGATTTTCACGAAGTTTGCTCATGAGCGAATCCAAAAATTTGACAATGTTATCCCACTGACCACCAGACGATAGATGGGGAATCCCACTAGGAGACCTAGATGATTTCCCCCCCTGCACTCCTCGTCCTGTTTTGGGTGCCTACCCAAACAATAGTAAATTAAAAATAAAACAAAAAAAAAATTAACAAAGTTAGACAGTCAAATAACAATTATTTGATACCTAAAAAGTGTAAACTGGTGTAGGAACTTAAGTATAAACTATGTGTTAGAGGAAGTTTATTATTGTCTTCTAGACTATTCTCTGAAGCTGTTTTCTGCAGTAACCTGTCAATCATATATGGTCCTAGGGTGTAGGTTTTCCTATGAACCTTTTGTATTTCAAACTTAACAAGGATTTTTCTATTTTATATATCAGCTGAGACAGATCTCTTAAGCTTAATCTATTAATGGTATCAACGTGGGTCTATAAAATTAAGCTTAATCCTGCTCTGTCTCTGTCTGGTGTCATGTTGTCCACTGCCCACTGTCACTTTCAGTAGCAGACTGCCATTAGTATCTCCAATGAACACTGGATATGGTGTGCCTTATCAAGTAACGGATGAATAGCTTGGTGGTGTTTGAACCTCCACATGCACCAGCCTTCTACATGGCTCAATCAAGCACATGAGGTCCACATGTCACCCTGCTTGAAAAATCACAGCGCTTCGTCCATTGGACTTGCCAAGTTCTCTAGTCTCTGTTTCAACCTTGTCTTGGCTGTGGGTTCTTGTACCTTCTTTGTTCTCCATATATAATGGCATCTGGACTAGTGTCTCTCTTTTTGAAACTTCCACAATAACCTCAAAAAAACTTAATGGAAAAAATTACTTACTTTGGTGTGAATCTATTGAACTTTGTTTTTTTGGCCAAAGATTTCATGATCATATTGAAAATGACCAACAGCCAAATTTCATCAAAAATATTGAGAAGTGGAAGAAGAAGCCAGATTTTCAGCTTTGTGCTTTGCTCTAGCAATCCATGGAACCCAATATATTGGGGACTCTTAGAGACTTAAAAACATGCAATTCCTTTTGGAAAAAAGCTAAGAGTATCTTCGCAAATGATATTCAAAACCTCTGCTAGGATCTCTTAAACAAATAGATCATGATAAGACCTCTCTTTTTGCATAAGCCGAAGTTGATGTTGTTGAAGAAGTGATGTCCTTCAAAATTTATTCATTAAAGACATTACGAAGTAATTTGGACAAGTTGTATTGTAAATAATAATGATTTTTCGTGCCTTGAACCCAGACTTTAATTATGTTTATGGTTAAATTCTGACTAATCAGAAAGTTCCAATAATGGAGAGTTTGACAAGACTTCTTCATGTTCCAACTCCTGAGAGTGGAAATCTCCTCATTCCTACTAAATGGTCCCTTTTTCACTTGGAATGAAGGCAGTTGGATGCCAATGGGTCTACACGATCAAAGTAGGGGCCAATGGTCAAGTTGATCATGTTAAGGCTAGACTAGTAACCAAGTGGTATACTCAAATATATGAACTTGATTATGGTAATACATTTTCCCCAGTGACCTAGATAACTATTATCAGACTGTTACTAGCTATGGCAATCATTCACCATTGGCCCCTCCATCAATTATATATTAAAAATGTTTTTGGTAACTTAGAGGAGTGAGTTAGTTTGTAAACAATGTCACTCTCTTTAAGGGCTCAAATGATTCCCATGAGCTTGGTTTCAGAAAATTAGTCAAATTGTACAAAAATTTAGAATAAGTGTATTGAGGTAGGTCATTAAGCTTTCTATCGTCACTCTTTTACTTAATCGTGTATGCTAATGACATAGTTATTATAAGGAATGACAATACCAAAATTTCCAACTGAAAATCCATTTATGCCCGCACTTTCAAACTAAAGACCTTGGATGCCTGGAATATTTTTTGAGTATTAAAGTAGCTAAAGAGAGGTATTTTTTATTTCCAAAGAAAGTATGCCTGGCATATCTTGAAAGAGATAAACATGATTAGTTGTAGGCCAATTGATAGCCCTATGGACCCTAATAAAAAATTAATTGAAGAACCAAAAAAGCCTTGATCTAGAGAGATATTAAAGACTGGTTGGGAAGTCCATTTACCTAACGAGTATTAGACTTGACATATTTTTTAATTTATGCGAACCCTTCATATTGATCACTGGATTGTTGTAAGTATATTCTCAAGTACCTCATCTAACATATAACAACGTTAAACTGAAAATTGATTGAAAGTAAATGGGTGGACCAATGGTACTGCTAAAGTACATCTAGCAAAACATTAAAGCAATTCAAACTGACTCCAGAAACAATAGACTTAGTCAGCGACTTTGACAACTCTCTTTCTCACACCCAGAAAAAGGTTTTTGACTAACTGTCTTAGAATCCTATTCACTTCAAGATAGACATTCTCTTATGTGTTGAGTTATGACCACAAGAACCAAGAACAGAAGCACAAAGATACAATAACTGTCATTGTAGTATAGCCACAAATAACATCTCCAAGGTATCAGACTATAAACAAAGGGTAAGAAATGTCACCTGAATACATGATCCCAGAAGTGGAGAAAGTTCTTTTTTCAAATTGTCACGTAGAAGACCAAAAATCTTCTCTACACAAGCAGTTAGTTGTTGCTTAAAAAGTATAGCAGGATATCTCGCCTCCACATGCGATGCACCATCATCATATCCAATAAACTGCAATGAAGATTTTGGTCCCTATAAATACCACCAAAACTAAAATCAAGGGGAAGATACAAAACAAGGCAGGGAACCTATGATGACCAGTGTAAAATGGAAAAAGAATAACTAAAAAAACCATTTTGGGAAAAGTAATTAATAAATTAATCAACAAATAAAAATACAGAAATTACATAAACTTTAAAATAATTGATGCTACTACTAAACTAATATAAAGAGACATCATTAGTGATACTATCCAAAGGAATTACAACGCTTCCTTTTATTTTTTTTATATCTACATGTAGGTTCAGCTTAGTAACAAACTAGCAATTACTTATTCTGGAGAATCCTTGCCATGTGCAAATTTAGAACATTTTCTTTTTATATGCTTTAGGTTTATCATACACATAATGGGATTGGACGATTAATTTTGATTAAAATAGTATGGATTTTCTTTCCTTGGATTTTTTTTGCTTTTGATAAGGAGGGCACCTTATCCTCCAAATTTTTGCATTCTTCTATTCATAATGCTTCTTTTACAACTCCACTTCAAAACAAGCCGATGAATGTGATTAATCAAAATATCTGTTTTATTACTTTCTAGTTTCTGCTGTCCAGAAACAAACACAAACTGTAAGTGGAAATAAAATTTCAATAAAATAGTTATTGTAAGCACAAAGTTGCTTTTGTACTGTTCCTGTCTGCACCTGAGGTCCAGGTGTTCTTGCTTCTTTTACACTCTTTTCTCTCATTACAAGATATTGTGTTTTCATTGGAAGAAATATTATTTCCTAGAAAACAAAAAACAAAATATAGTTTTCCAAATCATGCTGAAACCGAATATAGGTCAATGACAAATCTCTCACTTGTGAACTTGTACGCATCAAACAATTCTTTCAAGAAACAAAATTTTGTGAGATTCAACAAATGAAAATATATTGTGATAATCAAGCAATTCTCCGCATTGCCTCCAATCCAATGTTCTATATGAGAACCAAATAAATAGAAATTGATTGCACTCCATTCAAAAAGTATTGTTATCCACAGAAATTTGTATTAAGTTTGTTGAATCTAATAATCAACTTACAAATATGCTAACAAAATCCTTAAGAGAATCGCAAATTCAACTTATATGTTCCAAATTTGACACATACAATTTGTATTCTCTATCTTGAGTAGAAGTGTTAGAATAGGCATAATAGACTTTATTAAAACTTGTTCTTGTACTGTTCCTAACTTCCTATCTGCAACTGAGGTGCAAGTGCCCTTGCTTGTTTTACACTCTTTTCTATCCTTAATTGTATCTCTAGTTTTTTCATATATAAATAACAGAACCTAAGAGAGAAACATTCAAGCTCTCTAAAAACATTTTATCTCACTCAAGTATACCAAACAAAAACTTAGCTGAACAGCAGCCATCCTGCAGACAATAGTGTTGTTATTGTCAGTTCCAACCTCAGCAGTCAGACCTCCATTTTCTGACCAAACCTTGATACACCCCCTTTCAGCCAACCCCATTCATTTTCCTTTGGGCTAAGCTTTCCCCTTTTCATTTTCCTCTATTCTACCTGAACTCTTTTCCTTGTCTATTTATTTACCCACTCTTCTCTGTTTACTTTTTCTTGTTATATTTCTATTTTCTACGCTAAAGATGGTTCTGTCTTTCTTTCTCTTTTTATTTTTAAATTATGGCTTCCTATATTTCTTATATGTTGGATCTAACTTCTTATCCAAGTGCTACATGCACAAGCTAGCTTTTATGTTGATCTTTTTAAGCTTCTACCTTTTTTAGTTTCCAATCTAAAACACTTACACAACTTATTCTATGACTACGCTATGAGGAGAGAGAACAGGGTATTTCATAACCTCTGCAGCTAAAGTGACGTCTGAGGCATCTGTTTGTTTTGGGTTCAGTACTTTTTCACACTTCATAGTTTCCCAGTCCATTTGTACTATTCTTCACACTTCATAGTCTTTCATGGTCCGCTTATTTTTTGTTGATTCCAATTTTTTAATATAAATATCAATATCCTTTTTTTTTCAACTTCATTCTTCTCTTGCCATTTTGCATTATTAATTTAAATTAATGGTGAATGCATTTTAGAATGACTTTATTATTAATTATGAATAAATCTGCAGATTTTTTTAGTATTATATGAATATAAGTTACAAATTAAATATCACGTAGTCACAGAAAATTACATATATTGTGAAAGTAATACACATACAAGTTTAATGTTGAACTAGATAACTCACATGCCCAGTACGGTTGGACAAACCAGATGATCCAGGATAACGCTGAGCAGTAGTAGTTAAAAAACCATTTGAACGTAAGTTTCTCTGTAAAAGGCATAGAAGCGCAGAGGTATTGGACAGCCAATATGGCAGGACAATGTCATCCTCCCTAACCTGAAGCAGATTACACTCAAATGAATAAATCTCATTTAGTAATTATAAATATCCTACAAATTGAATACAGGACTATAAATGACAAATAAGCCAAAATAAATTTGACAAAACTAAATTCTAAAGATGGGACAAGCAACAAAAACAAAATCAAAAGCGAGTTTTAAGAATGAGACCATATCATTTACCTTTAAAACTTCATTTATTCCTTCGATGATGGAATCAAAAATGGTTGTGCGCTCAGATTCAAATGAATGCCAATGAAGCAGACATTTATATATAATACGAGCAGCAATAGGTTTACCATTTTTGAATCCCAAATTTTCTTTTATACACTTAGAGAGAAAGTCATAGTTATCCTGCAAAACATATCGTATCTATTAGCTTAAAGTGCACAATTATTTAGTAAAAGATATTTTGCAGACATTAGTTTATTACTGAGGTTAATAAGTAATTTTCGTTTTGCGCATGTATTTATTCTGTTCCTGTATTTGCACCCAAGTCAAATGACTCAATTCATTTTTCAAACATAGGAAATATGACTCAGTCTTGAAACAGAACTTCTCTATCAAAAAAATGGCAGTAACACAGAATTTGCTAGGACAAATAATAAATTTTTCCAACCACAAAACCCTCATCCACAATCACCAGTGAAGTAGGATTGGAGCAGGCACTTCTTAATGAAATTTTCGAAAGTGATCTCTATTCTCCACATCATAATCCAATTTGCTTCCCTTCAATTGCAACAACTAAAAAATGACCTTTACAAGTAGAAGTTTCTACAACTACTTTTTTACCCTAATACTAAACTGATCCTACCTAAGAAATACTTTTTACCAATGTTTTTAAAATCAGGCTGGTCACTGAATCAATGAAGACATGGATTTTAGATTTAAAAATTTAATAAGGATTCAACCGAATTTAATAAAATAATTATATTTATTATATAATAATATAATAAGTATATAATAATATAATAAGTATATAATAAATTCATTAATAACAAAAAAAAATATAAAAGAAGAAAACAATTATAATAATAGCGAAAGTTGTTATCACAGGCTGTACATAACAATTGAGGTTTCAAAAATATAAAATAAAGCAGAGAATGAAAGACTAATAATTATGAAAGTAAGATGAAAACATGGTAAAATATTATTCAAAGTTGATATGACTCCTGTGAGGCAAAGAAAAAAAAAACTAAAAACTATTATACCCTTTATAAAAAAAAATTATCTTTTAAAAAAACTAAAAACTTTTGATCTTTAAATTTTATTTTATATTTATCAAAAATGGTTCGACCCAAACCTTAGCTAGTTTTATCGGTTTTAGACCGGTTTTTCCAGTTTTATATTGGTTTAATTAAAATCTAATTATTTGCAAGCAACAAGTTCTTGATTGAACTGACTGGTCTGATCTTCTCATACTGCATGCTCAGCAATTTGTCTCATGCTATCTACCAATTAGAGTTTTCTATCATAAGGAAGATGGTATTTTCTTCTAGATTGAGCATAAATATACCACACCACCAATATTGTTGTTGACACTAAAAAAATTGTTATCCGTAAAAGTTTTGCATTCACCTGAAATAGCAGGATGCCAAAACTACAGGTAAGAAGTTAAACAAGATCTACCTGGTGCTTCTCTGCTGTTAACTTAGATCGACGAGAGTCTGACAAGCCTAGTGTAAAAGGGGCAATAAGTTTTGTGGGTGTGGGTGACTCCTGAATCAGAGCAAATTAAAATAGTTATGACTCTGTTTATTGATCATTTCTGAAGGAGGGAGATGAGAAAGTAGGAGCTTACAAATATGGTCTTTCGTTCAGTGCGAGAGGTGATTGCACTTGAGTATTTCTGTTGCATAAATAAAAAAAATATTAACTAATAATGCTAATATAACACAATTCTCAGTACACCCAAGACTAGTTATTAAAGATGTTATTTGCCTGAGAACATGAAACACAATGATAAGATATTAATAACAGAGCAACAGACAAAAACAAACTCTTGGAATTGTAATGTATGGGGAAACTTACTTCTGACATTGACTTGGCAAAACCTGGACGGTTACTCTTAAGAGGGGTACTTAAGGCTTTTTGACGAAGCACATGATTTTCATTCTCTAAACTCGTTAACTTTTCCTCAAGCCTACATTAAATACAATTATAGAAAAATAATCACGACCAAACAAAATATCAATTTTTAAGTGAGGCACCACACACAATCCATCAAAATTGATAAAAAAAAAAAAAAAAACCTCAAAATCTAATGAAAAAGAGCAGTGGCATAGGATTACAGGAGTACATGATTCAGTAATTAAGTCATCTTGCAGATTGAGAAAAGAGGGAAAGAATACGCACTTTTTCTCATTTTGCTCAAGCAGAGAGCACTTCTGTTCAAACTCCCTCAGTTTCTCCATGTTTTCATCCCGACCTTTTTGAGCATTCATAAGCCCAAGCTCTAAGTTCTTGTACTTATTTTCAAATGCATCCAATGAAACCTAGAAATCCAAGACAGTGATATGAATAATATAAAATAACTAAATCTACAAGAAAAAAAACAAACAAACACAAATGTAACATAATGAATGATACCCTCCAAACAATTTTTTTTGTTAATGCAACATTGACTACTTTCAAAACAAATCACACTATATGTTCCCGATGAGGGACAAATTATTTAATCATTCATAACAGCAGAAGATGGTTCCAGTAAGTATCATCAAAAAATTGTTTTCCTGAAAGGAACAAATTCATTCTTTTGTGATAAGGTCTACAATGGATCACATATTTCTACGGAGTTGGCCAAATTTCATTCTAGCGCACCATATGTAGCTCAATGTCTTTTCAGAAAAAGTGACAAATTTGCACAACCCCATCTTTCTCCCTCACCCAAAACCAAAAGGTCAGTCATAGTTTGCCCTTGCTTCAAAAGCAACAATGACTACCCAATCACAATAGTCATGCCAAATAAAAGGTAAAATAATAATTGGTCAGTAAAATACGAACAAAACTGACCATAAAAGCTTGCAGATAATGATGAAGTATGTGTCTTCATCAGATCATTTAAAACCTTAAAATTATGAAATAGATATTTCATAATATGGTATAATGGTATTAAAGCTTGTGACTACCTTATTTCCAGATAGAAGTTAAATTTCACAACAAGGATCAAGGGTGGGCCTTTGCATTGTCCATGCTTCAATCCCAAAGGGTTATGAAAATTAACAGGTATGTTAGATGTAAATCGACAAATAAGTATCCACCAAACAGCTTAAGATTTTGGGATAATTTGTTCATGATGATTGCCTTAAGCATGGAAATGTTACTATGTTAAAAATAAATAGCAAACAAAAGGTAAGATTCTATTTTCTTGTTATATTAGAAGAAAATCTTAAGATATGCTCTCAACATTAAGAAGAAAATCTATCTTCACTCTCAACATTAACATATAAATGAATTAGAAAATTTCAAATTGCCCATATTATGCCATGTCACCTATGAAGCTAAGCTAAACAACAAATACACAAAAGTTTTACCGCATTCAGCATAGGGTAATCCATCTGTCCAAAACCAGTGTAACAATTTATTGGATATTAATGATGCTTAAACATCTTGCAAACTGTCTGCATGTTTATCTCTTTTATGTAATCCAGCTTTCTAATACAGTCCATCAATAACCTTATCTCCAACTGTATTAACCTCACTCATTGCATTCACAGCTCGTGGTACTAACTTCCTTAATTTATTATATGATCTATCTCATATAAACAATGTCAGTGGTCTATACATTACAACATGCCTCTGTCAATAATGAAAAAAAGGGACGATTTTATAACAAAACACAATCAAGAATATGAAACTGCAGTTTGAAACAATGTACTGTAATTCAAACTTGATTTATCCCACAAACAGAAGTTCCAAAATCCTGCCATCTCAATTAAACACAATCAAACACAAGCAATGGAACACAATCAAAAACTTGATTTTTGGTGAGAATAATGAATATTTATTAGCCATCAGAATCAATGGAACATATTCATTAAGCATAAACCTTTAATAAAGCATTTTCCTTGCGCAATTCATCCACTGCTACTAGCTCTCTTTTCAAAGCGGACCTCTCCTTGACTGACAATTCCAATTGATTTTGCAGAACCGCATTCTTGTTGCACTCATTAATTTTTGCCAATTTAGCAGCATCTAATTCAAGATTCAAAGCTTCTAACATCTTTTGAAGTTTTGAAATCTCTAGTCTTTTAGCCTCTTCATTAGAAACCTGCATAACGAACCAGAATCTTGAAAAGAAGTTCCATAAATTTTGTTTTCCAAAGCCTCTGTGCCAGATAAATGATGATAACAGATAGGGTAGTCCAAATTTCAGATTCTAATGGGTAGGTAATACATAAATAGAGAATAGAACACAATTTCTACAAGGAAAAAAGGATAATTAATGTTTCACTCATGCAGCAGAAAAATATTAGGCTAAACCTTTTTAGCTAGTCATCCAAAACATTTGAGCCTTAAAATAAGCAAATAAATAAATACATAATTATAAAAATGTTGCAGGATTCAAAATAATAATATACAAACATTTCTTAATATCATCAATTTTCTGGAAGTGATACCCTTATTTTCTTTTCAAGATGCAAACGCCATGTTAGATCTTCCAATTGCTTCTCCAGTTTATTCTTAGCTAATCGGAGAGCACCAGCCTCATTTGCCTCCTGACAAAGATATTTAAAAACGACAATAATAAGAACAACTTATGCTATATGGGATCTTCCACATCCCCCCCTAAAGGAAAAAATCTTACTTGTTTAAGTCTTCGTAACTCTCTTTTTGCTTGTCTACACCGCCAAAGGCATTGTATTGCCACAATTGAAGCTTGATGTCTTAGAAAAGATGACCTAACCTTGGACATCCTCCAACAGGCCTACAATTTTACATATGATCAATAAGGCAAATATAACAAAATTCTGTCATCCACAAGTAACCAGACACAAAAAGCAAGTGTGAAAGTGAAGACAGCAACAATTGAAACCAAAGCAAATAATTCATTGTGTCATGCTTTTGAAAAGTTCTTACTCATATAACACATATTAAAAAAATTACCTGAATAAAAGTAGCAGCTTTATGTTCTTTTGCATGTAAGAATCTTTGGCGAGTCACAAAACCTCGAACACGAGATTGTATGACAATTGCAGAAAAATACAGTTTTAAGTGAGCATGCCTTGTCAGCCACATTCGAATATATTTCTGAATAGAGATAGCTGCTGCTGTCTCCCTTTTAGCAGCATATATCTTTCGAGCAATGTGACCTACAATACAAGTACAAAAACTGACTTTTCCAGGATTTGAACCCATGCCTACCAAGTCACACAGCAGCATCTTCTACCATTACACCAAGACTCAACCTCAAGTGCAACAGTAAAGCCAACATGTTAACAAGAGTAGTACACAGTTCTAAATGAAGAAGGAAAATGAACTAACCTCTGCAGCATGCCTGAAGTGATAATGCAGCATCTCTTAAAAATATGAAATCCCGATGTGCCATAAATGTCCTCAATCGGCACTGAATACACTTTGCAGCATTGTCTAAAACTTCAGCACGTCTCGAGTCTAAAATACCAATTTGCCCAGCCCTGAGAAATATTTTGGTCCTACCCAGCTGAATAATGACAAAGTATAACCATTATTAACACACTTAATCCTTTTACATCCCTCCTTTGTTTGTGAACAACAGCTGCAAACACATTTCTAAGAGAAGCATACCTGAAAATTCTCAAGCTTAAGCTTTAGCAAAATTTTCTCAGTTGCAGCCTTATCATCATAACTATTAACACAGGAATACAGTTTTTATTAGATAAGAAGCTCAAACTGTTGCTCATGCACATTATTCAGCTTCCCCTCCCATATATACATACATACATACATACATACATACACACACACATATATATATATATATGTGTGTGTGTGTGTGTGTCTTCTTGTACATTGCTTAGCAATTTTTATTCCTCTATATTGATGTGTATAAGTACAACTATAGCACAAGCCCAACACAATAGTCTTCTAGATAGGGATGACAAAACGGGTCAATTCGTGCTATTTTGATCGGCCCCTCTAGTCCGCTAAAAACGGGACGGGACGAGCTGACCCATCATAGTTAGAATAAGCTACGAGACCTCAACCCACCTCGTCAAAGGCGGGTTGACGAGCTATCAAGTCAATCCACAAATTTTTTTTATATAAAATTTTTTATATGTAATTTTTTAAAAAATATATCTTTAATTATATGAATAATTTTTAAGTTTTTATTTATTAATTAATATTTTTATTAGATAAATTGAAAAAACTACTATATTTGTTCATTAAAATAACTAATTATAATCAATAATTTAAACTTAATTAATTAATATTTATAATTTAAATTATAATCTTAAAGTATATTTATATATTTTAATGACACAAAAAAGTAATATTTTTAATTATAATCTTTTCCTTATTTTAATTTTAATATATAAATATTTTTTTAAACGGGTAAGCCCGTTTTGCTCCACCCTTAGCTTGCAGGTTGACGAGCTAGGCAGGCCAAAACTACAAATCCACCCACCATTTTTTAGGCGGACTGGTGGATCGACCCTCCTAGTCTAGCCCATTTTACCATCCCTACTTATAGATACATATAACTCAACTCATTGGACAAACAAAACCACAAATCATGGAATGCAATACAAGTTATAGAGTCATTTAATGTGTTAACAGGTAACTCAGAAAATTAAATTAATGAACTCACCTTCCATCCAGAAATTCAGGGGCTATTAACCCAAAGCGATCTACAAACTCTGAGTAAGTTCTTCGTGCAGGATAACCTGCAAGACTTATCCGAACTGCCTCAAGGACGCCCTAAATTAATAGAAAACGATATGCCATAAATGAGATCCTACTAGGTAGTACATCTGGAAGATAAGCACTTGAACCAGAGCCATCTTAATTCCAACAAGTTTTGAATCAAGCCCATAATTTATTTTTCACATGTAGTTGGAAGTTACAGAAAAGCCCAATTATAAGTTATATCCTATAGTGTACTGCTGTAAGAAATTGGCTACAAGAGCAATTTTCATAACATTGATTAGATAACACCCAAGGTAACAGTTTACAAATAAGCATGTCAGCCATCTGTGTCTCATTCAACAGATTCAATTAAAGGGTTTAGAACATCTAAAATACTAACCCCGCAGCGTAACTGGTGTATGACGCTTGCATTTTCAAATATTTGTGGTCGGTTTAAAGAATTTGGTTTCACACATCTTATGTAGTGAGGCTCTGTTGAGTTTAGGGTCTGCATGAGTGCTTGAAGTTGTTGCTGAGAACACAGACAAGAAACCCAGACCCCAAAAAAAAGATCAGAGACATGAAAATGATGTCCAAATATGTAACTTTAGTCACCTGAACAAAGTGTTCATATTATGCTCTCTAGTTCTAAAAAAAATATTTAAAAGATATAGATCTACACACCTTAAATCTGGCAGCTACTGAAGAAAACTTGTATGATGATCTTGAAGATTCTTCTTGAAGCAAAGGAAAAAGACGAGAAACGAAAGGGCATTTTGAACTAGATAATAGATTGCAATGTTCTACTACAACATAATCACGATTTTTGTCTAAAAAGGTATCAGTATGGTATGTGACCTGCATAAAAACAGTGGAAGATCTCCTCAATAATTGTAACACATCACAAGATGTGTCTGAATCAGGAGAAAGTCCAGGAACACATACTCACCTTTCCAGCATAATGAGAAATAGTAAAATCTGTTTGTGAAAACTTTTCCTTTTCCAGCCTAGGGTGAGATCGGAAGTGCTGAAACAACTTGGTTGAGAATGTTTCATGAGTCGATTTTGGAAACATACTGCAATGAGAAGGAATTCAGGATGAAGGCTGAATTTACAATAAACGGATACACTCAAATTCATATTGAGGAACTCAAACTGTACCAAGCTTCATCCAACAGGGCAATGATACCAATGGGTTTCTGCAAAAGAATGCAATAATGAGTCCACAAGAAATTGAAACTAAAGGCATACATATTAATTTAAATCCAGAGAAAGCAACTTATACATCAATAACATGCATACATTCGCATTGCACAACGGCATTAAACTACATCACTTTATTTTGACATAATCATGATTATCTATACCCTATATAAGGGAGTTTATTGTAAGAGATCCAAACGTTAGACCTAGAGAGCATAGGATCAGAAAAAATGGTTCAGTTTTGACAAATTTCTGAATAGCTGACTAGATTCCTTCCTAATACAGATTTTCTTACAACTTCCATATCTCTAACCTCATATACTTCATCATTCCTCAAATACCATTATTTTTTACCTCTATGCCACATATTATGCAAGAAACAAAGCAATCATATACGAAAATGTATAATAATACTACATAGCAATACATAGACTTTAGAGTTATTTCCACCTAAAAAGACAATAAAAATATTCAAAAGAACAGAACACGCAAACCTTTTCAATTAAATCTAAAACATCTTGGTTATCTACAAATTCAATGTAACTCCAGTTAATTTCTTCTTTGCCATACTCCTCCTGCTCCATCTTGAACACATGCTGGAAAAAAGAAAAACAACAAAATTCAAATTAAAAATACAAAACATTTGATAAACTTAATGGATGCAAATTAAAATACAATGATACAAGGATACCTCATTAAAATGTTGCTGAAGCTTTTCATTTGCAAAATTGATGCAGAATTGCTCAAAACTGATGGAAGTGAATGTTATCAGAATGAGCAAAACAATCATATAGAAAAGGTTATTAAATGAACAAACAACTGAAGCAGGCAAATCAATATCAAATAAAGGGAATACAAGAAAAACAATCCATGCATACTTTTTTTTGGTGTGGACAATCCATGCATGATACTAAAGAAAGTATTTTCCAGCTAGTGAAAGTACAATGAAAAAACTGAGAGAAGTGAGAAAAGTGATAAGCATTCAGAAGAATGGTCCAGAAAGTAAAATACACAGCAAACCTAATCAGTTCTACTCTCCACAATCCACATACACACAGAAAAGGGGAAAAGAACTCCTACAAGTGAAAAACAATTGAAGCCAACATACCTGTTATCCTTAAAGCACTCAAAACCATAAATATCCAAAACTCCAATCTGTATCTTGGAATTGAGGTCTTGCCCAACAGACCTATTGATCTTATCAACAAGCCTGTTAAAAACAGCATGAACAAATATAATGTCACCTTAAACAATGCATAATAAAAACTAAATCCCAACTTTGCATTGACCAAATGTATACCAATCAAATAAACGGGCATAAACAGTTTTTGCCAAGGTATCACGGCCAGCAACAGCAGCATTGCAATCAAGGGCCTTGACAATATTGCCTTCACGAGTTTGGATTGAACGAGTACACAATGTTGCCAGCAGTACATTTACATCACACCTGTTAAATGGAAAACAGAGAAATATATAAAGCAAAACTTAATTGTTTTTTTCAAAAGTTGGAAGTGCTAAAGAAACACTATGTTATTTGGCATCCCAATTATGTTGTTTCCCCCAATAACAACAATCATTGCAGCAACCCCAAGTGATTACTGTAAGTTCGTACAAGTAATGAGCTTCTATATACAGCATATACATACTGCAGAAGCTAATCTAAAAAGAGAAAAAACAATAATCCAATTTATTTGGTATTCCTATCATTTCTACAATAATTATTATTGATAAATAAACTCAAATTTTTCTTCGACCTCTTGCCAAGGTTTATACACATTTAGTTAGACTTAATCGTGAAACTATTTATCTTACTGATGCCAATAATAGTTTTAAAATGATACAATATAGGCGTGAATCTTTAGCACTACTTGGTCACCACTGAATACATAAATTTGTCCATTCCCTTACTGTTCTACCAGACTTCAGTTGCATACACTGTCTGTATAATCTACATGATCATACCACCAGAAACTAATAAATCAGTATCACAAATGTTTGCAGATCTAAAACTTGCATATTTGAGTTTTGAGCACAATTGCTTGAAGCAATGAAATTCAGCAAAGTTATGATTCATTTTATGACCACAAAATTATACTAAACAAAATATAAATCACCTACATGAAAAGATCAGCAGCCATCTTCATATGAAATCTTGATTTGTCATCTTTTACTACCGACGAGTCGTGCTCTTTTCCAGGAGAAAATTCAATGTTTCCCAAATGTAAAATTGCAGCTAAGACACGAAATATGGATTCCTGAAAATAGGAAGATGAGATGACTATTAGTAAAGGGCTCGTCATCAATTAAACTGTCCATTTAACAACAAAAGCACACAATAAAGCAAAAGATACACGATGAAAAGAAGGAAACAATATTACACCTGATCCTCGTGACTAATGCCGACAATATCCATTGCCCTCCTTGTCTTCAGGTATTCTTCTGTGTTGCTTACACCATCTAATTCATAGATTTTACTTTGATTTAGATAGTGGAAGTGACTTGGATCTCCTAACTTATACTTCTCTGCATCCTAAAATGAGGCATCCCAATTATAAACTATTACACTTAATGCTCTGACCATTATATTATGAAAATCATAGCCTGCACATGCACAATGCAAACTATGGAACTATGCTACAGTACTAACCCCACTCCACCGCAACCAAAAAAATATAAAAGGCCTCAAAGAAATTAAATACCATTTCAGATGCACACAACTGATAAAAGCAGTGATAATTTCTCTCTGGATCCGTTATCTGCACTACTCGTGATCTTTCCAGTAAGTAAGTTCTAATTGCAGCACCAGATATTCTACCATTTGAATCAAACTGAATTTCAACAAACTTCCCAAAACGACTGCAAGCAAATAACACAGATAAGAGGCTATGAGCAATAATATTTATGAAAGAGTAGATCTCAAATCACACTCTATAACTGTAAATATCTTTAGCACAAAAATATAAAATTATATCAAAACAACCAAACACTAGAGATAGCATAATAGTCCACCAAATATGTTTGTATTCAAAAACCTATTTCATCTTACAATGTTCAAGCGTCCTCTTAGCTTTCCTATATTGATATTGTTAAGGTTCTAACATAAAATCAATTGACAATATTTGGATTAGCCTAACAAGTATTTAAATCATACCACATTATATGAGGCAGGCAATGTGGGTCTTCCAACACGTCCCCTCCAATGAAGTTTGTCGGACCAAGCAAAGGATATTTTAAGAGCAACTTTTGGCCTAAGACAACAACAAAGGGTACAACAAAAGGACAACTTTTGGCCTAAGACAATAACCGGAAAGAAATTAAGCTTTAGCTCTAATACCATGTTAAGGTTCCAACATAAAACCAATTGGTAATATTTAGAGTAGCTTACTAGGTATTTAAACTATACCACATGACATGAGTAGGGCGATGTAGAACTTCCAACAGATACCTCCCTAATACTTGTACAACACGTGCAAAACAATTTAAAAAGTTCTTATTAGCTTGGATATTTAAATTGATACTTGCATGTGAGACACTTGAGCCAACGTCTCCAAATGAATAATAGACATTTCAAAAGACTAGAATTATAAATATAAAATATAAATATATTGTAATGTATTCGGGGATGCAAATGAGTATATAGACAAGTCTGGAAAATTAGATTAAATGAAATCTTATTTTATTATTTTAATACAAACAGATCATACGAGATATATACAAAAGACCTAAGCTATTTTAGGAAATATAATAACTCTATTTTATTCTAGGATCCCTTGATTTATGGGATTGTTTCTAATTGTTCAAATCTGTACAGATTACAAATTTCCTAATTTATTCTTTCCTAAAATACTATTTGATTTCCCACACTCCCCCTCAAGCTGGTGAATAAGTGTTTTCCATTCCCAGCTTGGATACAATCTTCTCAAAATTGTGGCAGCTCGATCCCTTGGTAAGAACGTCTGCAATTTGGTCTTGAGATAACACATATGGAGTGCATATCAAGCCACTATCAAGCTTTTCTTTGATGAAGTGTATGTCTACTTCAATATGTTTTGTTCTATCATGTTGCACTGGATTGTGGGTTATGCTGATTGCTGACTTATTATCACAATAGAGCTTCATAGGTTCTTCCCATTTTATCCTCAAGTCTTCTAAGATGATTTTAAGCCATAGCAACTCACATATACCTTGTGCCATGACTCGGAATTCCGCTTCAGCACTGGACCGAGCCACTACACCCTGCTTTTTGCTTCTCCAAGTCACAAGATTTCCTCCAAGAAAGGTGCAATATCCTGCAGTTGACCTCCTATCCACAATTACCAGTCCTTTTGAATAGAATCCCTCTTCCTGGAGTTCCTTTAAGTACCTGTAAAATTCTGTGGGTTGCTTGTAAATGGATCTCCTTTGGGTTATGCATAAATTGGCTAATTAAACTCACTGCATAGGCAATATCTAGCCTGGTATGCGACAAATATATAAGTTTGCCCACTAATCGTTGGTACATATCTTTTTCAACAACAACATCTTCTACATTTCCAAGTTTTAGGTTTGGTTCTAATGGGGTACTAGCAGGTTTGCAAGCTGCCTTGCCAGTTTCCTTCAGCAAATCAGTGATGTATTTCTGCTGGGATATAAATATCCCTTTCTTGGAGTGGACAACTTCAATTCCCAAAAAATATTTTAGTTTTCCCAAGGTCTTGATCTCAAATTCCTTGCTTAAGCATTGACTCAACAATTGCTGCTCTTCTTTATTATCTCCAGTTAATATTATGCCATCCACATACACCAATAATATTGTTACTCCCCCTGACTTGGAATGTTTAAAGAATAAAGTATGGTCCCCTTGGCTTTGTTTGTAACCCGGACCTGTCATAACTTCAGTAAATCTGTCAAACCATGCACGGGGGGACTGTTTTAACCCATATAATGCCTTTTTTAACTTGCAAATAGTGTTGGCAACAACATCTCTACCATATCCCGGAGGTATCTCCATATAAATTTCTTCTTCAAGGTCTCCATGTAGGAAAGCATTCTTAACATCAAATTGTTCCAAGTTCCAACCATAATTGGCAGCAAAGGACAATATCACCCTAAATGTGTTCATTTTGGCAACTGGAGCAAAGGTCTCCAAATAATCAACTCCATAGGTTTGGGTGAACCCTTTAGCAACTAGTCTTGCCTTATATCTCTCAATTGATCCATCAACCTTGTATTTCACTGAATAGATCCACTTACATCCAACTGGCCTCTTTCCTATTGGTAAGGTGACTAACTCCCAGGTGTTGTTCTTCTCCAATGCCTCCATCTCTACATCCATGGCTTGCCTCCATTTTCTGTCAGACAATGCCTCAAATAGGGTATTAGGTAGAAATACAATGTTTAGGTTTACTAGGAAGGTTTTATGGGTAGGAGAGAAATTTTTAAAGGACAGGTAATTTGAGAGAGGATAGAGTGGTTGTTGGTGCATTTTCTTGTCCCTTTTCTAATGGCAATTGGGAGGTCAGGATCATTTTGGGTTTCAATTTCAACCTGCACAGCTGGAGAAAAAATTGTTACCTCTTTTTGTGGAGTCGAGTTGGATTCTTGAACATGGCTTGATCCTGGAATGGCCTTAGTCTTCCTTGAGTACACCAGCTTCTTACCAAATTTTCCAGCTTCAACATCTTCTTGATCAGCTTCGCAAGTAATTTCACTTTCTTGACCAACTTCCTTTTCTTGACCAATTCCTTGACTTGTTTCACTTGTTACAACTTCCATTTGATCTCGTTTAGGTTCAAATATCAAGTCGGGAAGAATGGGAAAACCAGAATTACTATTTTCAATTTGATCTCGTTTAGGTTCAAATATCAAGTCTGGAAGAATGGGAAAATCAAAATTACTAATTTCCTTATCTTCCCTGAAACTCTTCCCCTGAAGATAAGGTTGATGGAAATAGCCATCTTGTTCATTGAAGGTAACATCCCTAGACACAAAGAATTTTTTGGATGGGGGGTGGTAGCATTTATACCCTTTCTGAGTGGGTGAGTAACCAACAAAGACACACTTTAAGGCTCTAAGATCAAGTTTTCCCCTGTCTGTACTATGAATATGGACATATGAGATGCACCCCAAAACTCTTGGTTTAAGATTATTTGTAGTGGATAGGTTTGGATAGAAAGACGACAAAGTTTCCATAGGGCTTTTTGATCCTAAGACTCTAGAGGGTAGTCTATTGATAAGGTATGTTGTTGTAAAGACAGCTTTTCCCAAGAAATTTTTTGGGACACTTTTTTGGAACAACAATGCCCGAGTCTGATTTAATAGATGTCCATTTTTCCTCTCTACGACCTCATTCTATTGTGGTGTTTTGACACAAGAGGACTCATGCATTACGCATTCTTTTTGACAAAAAGAATTAAGGACATGATTAAAGTAATCTTTGGCATTATCTGACCTAAGCCTCTTAATATTAAGACCAAACTGATTTTTTATCAAGGAGTGGAAGTTTAGAAAGACATAACTGACTTCAGATTTTTGTTTAAGTAGGAAAACCCAAGTGACCCTTGTACAGTCATCTATAAAGGTGACAAACCATCGAGCACCAGACACATTTGGAACATTAGAAGGTTCTCATACATCAGTATGAACAAGATAAAAAGGGTAATTGCTAATTCTATTACTTATTGGAAAAGATACACACTTATGCTTAGCATGTTCACACACCTCACAATGAAGACTCTCAACATCTAACTAGGTAAACAGAGAGGGAAACATAATTTTGATCACTCCAAAAGAGGGATGTCCCAATCGACAATGATAAAAGCATGATTTTTTTTTCTGTTGGTCATCAAGGATTCAGATATGAAAGAGTGAGAGATTTTGTTCTTGCTGGATAGACTTGGATCTTCGAAATAATAAAGGTCATTCCATTCTGTAGCATATCCAATCATCCTCCCCGAATCCTTGTCCTGAAATACACAATGATCGTTGGAAAAAACTTTACATGACAAATCCTTTATAAGTTTTTGTATAGACACTAGGTTGGTGGACAATTTTGGGACATGGAGAACATATTTTAAGATTATTAAAGAATTGATTTGGATATTTCCTTGACCAGCTACAGTTATAAGGGTTCCACCTGTTGTGTCAATTTTCTTGTTGTTGGGACATGGGAAATATGTGGAGAAGTGTTTGGCTAATGGTGTCATGTGGTCTGTTGCTCCAGAGTCCAATATCCAATAATGGTTAAAAGGTGTATCTGAGACATTTAATCCAAAAGAAAGTGGAAACTTACCTGAGTATGCCAAAGAACACACACCTGTAAGTTTTTCCAGCTTACTAAGAAATGTTCTCACCCTTTCTATCTCTTCTTGGTTAAGATGGGTAGCAGCTTCTGGATTATTTCCTTCATTTGTTTCAGCAGCAACATAAACTTGTCCTCCTTTCCTTAAGGAGTCTCCTCTGTGTCCCCCTTCTCGATCTCGATTTAAAGGCTTCCCATGTAACTTTCAGTACTTCTCTTGAGTATGTCGAGGCTTATTGCAGTAGGTACACCAGAGACCATCACCTTTCTTCTCCACATTTGCAGATCCTCCTTTCTTCTGTTCGGCTACCCTCTTTCTATTCAACACTATACGAACAAGTTGAGCCCACTTCAAATAATTTCTTCCATTTAGTCTATATGCAGAATGGATATTCTGCAGTTCTCCAGATTGTTGGGATTGGATATTCCCCATTTTTGGGGTTGGGTTCACAACTTCCTCTTCCCTTGACATTATAGCAAGAAGGTGCGATGCAACAGCAATGCAGGTTGTCATCTTAAGGTTAAGAAAAATGCAACAGCAATGCAGGCTACTGTCTTAGGGTTAAGAAAAATGCAGCAGCAATACAAGTTGCCATCTTAGGGTATATAGTGCGCAGGCAAAACTTCCTAGATCGGAAGCTCTGATACCATCTGGAAAATTAGATTAATTGAAATCTTATTTTATTATTTTAATACAAAGAGATCATATAAGATATATATAGAAAACCTAAGCTATTTTAGGAAATATAATAACTCTTTTTTATTCTAAGATCCCTTGATTTATGGAATTATTCCTAATTGTTCAAATCTATACAAATTACAAATTTCCTAATTTATTCTTTCCTAAAATACTATTTGATTTCCCATAACAAGCAAATAAAAAAAAAAAAGAGTTACGTTGTAAATTTGTATTGCCTTATGTCACTGTATTATTATGATTGAAAAGCTGGAAATGATGATTGCAGCAGAAAGGAAATAACTGAATTACAGAAGAGAGAGAAGAATTATTAACAAAATACCAAAAGGTTCTAGAGAGTAGGATTACACAATCTCGCCCTCCCCCCCCTCCTACGTCCCTAACAGAACTTAAATACTACTTGCTAGGCCAAATCATAGCACTCAGCCTCGTGTTAGTTATTTTGGCCCAAGAACTTCTTCTCATCCTTAATGCAAAGGATCTGCTGCCATGTGTCCCTTTCTAGAAATCTCCAGATCTAACTCATTTAACCCTGTTTTCAATTAATTGCTTACATATATCTAAGCATATTTCTTTAAGAATTAAGAAAAATCAAATTCAAACATAATATGAAACGTTAAAAAACAGTGTCTCTATTTTTCTAATGTGAGGCTCATTATGATAGAAAAAGGTACAAAACAAAGAAAATTGTTTCAAGATAGGTGAACATAACTTTAATGAAATACATGATTTGAAACACCCTGTATTTGATATGAAATTTAGATTGAAATGTTTAAGAATTTATTTATTGCTTACACATTGATAGGTGTAAATAGTAAAGTTGGATGTCCTTAAGCAAAACCGCATTAGTTAAACCCACAAATCTTGTACAAGTGGGATTAAGTGGACCAATGTGTTCATATTCAATTATCTTCAAAAATCCACAGCTTTGTGATTCTTTTGGTTCTTCATGTTATCCACTTGAAAAGATAATCATGATTCTTTTGGTCTCAATTGCCTAGCCTACTAGTTTGGGCCAACTCATTTGATGACCAGCTAATTTGGTCTATTCTATTCTATGACCAGACTGTCTATTCTATTTCATGACCAGCTCAGTTTTGCCAAATTTTTGGGTGTCTAATGCTTGAGTCTAATACTTTAAATTTAATTATGGCCACATGGCATGCATTTCGTAAAAGTTGAAATTCAAGATGACGTTGAGAATATGAATTTTCTTTATTCTACGAATTGAGTAGTAGAAATATGATATTTTTATCCATGAACATATATTTAAAGGGGGTGTGGATAAGGCTACAGAGATACATTAGGGTATAGTCATGTAGAGTAGGTCTTGAGGGACCTGAGAGGGAATTTGGGAGGGTGGTGAAACTGACCAATTGATATGCACAATGTGTTTAGGAGTTATCACAAGTCTCACACTTCATTCCCAACCAGTACTCTACTATACTTTTTAGCTATAGAGGCATAACACAAACGTATTTGTGGTGTGTGTTGCTAACCAGCAACTTTCCACATTTCCGCAAGACCAGTAGTGACCTAGGAGGCAGTTGGCAATGTTTTTGGGGGACTGAGGTATAGTGAATACCAAGACTATTGTAATCACAGTGATATGAAAAGGTATGCATATACTTATGTGCACGTGATGAACATTCTATAAAAATTTGCATGGAATTGACATTGTTATCTGATTATTGTCTTGAATATTATTCTATGAAAATGTTTTGGAGGATGATCTTACCCTTACACTAACATTTTCAAGAGAAGAGAATGACTATACTGGGCAGAAATAATGAATTGCATGACATGTATAAAAGTATGATTTGGGGTAGTGAGGAACCTACTCTATTAGAATTTACATTTGCTTTAAATATAAAAATGTAAATATTGAACAATAAGTGTATCTAGTATTCTCAATCTACAATCTTTTTTTTTGTAAATATTATGAATGATGTTAAATTCATATGAATTGTAAGAATTTTTAGGAGCATCACCTAATTCATCTTGTTTGGGGTTCTTTTCTTCGCAAAAAATACATACAAAGTGCTTATATCGTAAAAAGGGAAGGTTCCATCAATAATTGGTGTTGGCATAGAAGCAAGAGGACACCAAAACTGATAAACATATGCAGGATTGAGAAGCAATCTTATCAATGGTACACTAAGGCAGTGAGACTAAAATCCACCATTCCCATTTGGAGGATAGCATGACAGACAGAATAAAATTATATTCACCCACAAAAGAAAAGCACAAATGAATGAAACTACTAAAAAATGTAGATCGATTCCTAAAAAACATCATGGATTGTAAAAAAATGTCAAACTACTAACAACCTCATTCTCATTATGTTCAAGTGTTCATCAAAACTTGAATGTAAATACGGAAAAGCAATTAAAAAATAGAAATAAACAGAATAAAAATTATTAAAAATATCAAAGAAAGTAGAAATGAAAAAGAAGTTGAAAGTCTAAATATTAAAGAAGTACAAATGATAAAAAGAATATTTTAAATTTATTCTTTCTGTTTTTTAATTTTTTTTTTTTGTCCACCGTGGCTTCTGCCATAGCTGCCACGTCATATGTGTATGATGAATTTTTGGCTCACCGTCATAGGCTATTACCTGAATGGGGCCCAATTGAGACGAAAGAAGTTACCAGTGAGGGCCTGGTAAGTAAAAGTAAATATTTGGAGTTAATTAGAGAAAGTGGACACATGACACATGGATAGAGGTGGGAATGCCTAGAGGTGAGAGAAAGAGAATGTCACAAGTGAAAACAGCAGAAGGGCAATTTAGGAAAATAACATGGAGGAGAATAATTCTGTTAGAAAAAATGGACAGGTGACAAGTAATCTTACGATTATGGGCAACCGAAAAAGTGCTAGGATGAGGATGGCCAATTCACGCATGAAAGATTATGCATGCAGTTAGGGGTGGGAGGAAGGGGGTGTGGCATTCTGTTTTTTCTTGCTCCTTTCTTGTCTATGTTGTTGCTATCGTTGCATAATGACGTTCTTTCCTTACTATAATTAGAGAACCATTTAATACAATACTACATACAAAGTTTTTATCCATATTTTTCCATTACTCTTCCACGTTACATTGTTGTTTTCATTTCCATTCATGGCGGAAAACACTCGCTTGAAAGATCTTTCATCATATGTCAAGCGCATTTTAGAGTTGTTGGAATCTCGGCACGTGGAGTATTCCAATAGTTTTGAGAGCCTGGAAGTTGGCGTTACGTCGTTGCATGCAGCGAGTGCGTCCTCGAAAATGCCAAGCTCGAGTGCTGTGCCACCGTTTCAGGTCCGTAATGTCAAACTTGATTTTCCACGTTTCAATGGTTTAAATGTGCTTGAGTGGATTTTTCGGGCAGAACATTTTTTCACGTTTTACAATACCCTGGAGGAGCAACGTCTTACCATTGTTGTTGTTCATATGGAGGCCGATGTGATTCCTTGGTTTCAAATGCTAGCTAAGACCAATACATTTCAATCTTGGATTGGTTTCACACGATCCTTGGAATTGGAATTTGGTCCATCCCCTTTTGAATGCCCTCGTTCTACACTTTTTAAACTGATGCAAACAGGATTGGTTTAGGAGTATTAACGAGAATTTACCGCTTTGATAACTCAAAGCAATATAATGGGGAGAGGGATTACGTGTAGAATGGATACCTTTTCGGAGGACAATGGGAAGGTCAGATTTAGGTGTCAGATCCGTAAGAGACAGAATAGTTGGCACTTGAGTGGAGTCACATGGTGGTTGTGATTGATTTCGGCAACTATAAACCTGAAGAGGCGGTGGAGAAGAAGTTAACTGCGGAATAAGAACTAATGGTGAAGAAGACACAGTTAGAGGGTCACACAACAGGAACATTAAATGTACTAGGAGTGTTGACAGGATTGGATGGAGACAGAGGTGAAGATTGACTTTTAAAATAAAGAGAGAACTCATCAAATGTGACATCTACAGACACAAAATAACAGCTAAGAGAAGGAGAAAAACATTTGTATCATTTTTGTGATCTCGTAAATCATAAGAAAACACATTTATGTGATCTAGGAGAAAGGTTATCAAGACCAGAACTTATTTTATGAACAAAACATATAGACCCGAAAAATCTTAGAGGTAAGGAATGAAGAGGTTCATGAGGGAATAAAATGGAATGAGGTATTATATTATCTAAAATTGAAGAATGCATGCGATTAATGAGATAACATGCAGTATGAAGAGCATCACCCCAAAAATGTTGAGGAACCTCTCCATGAATTAAAAGAGTGCAAGTTGTTTCAATAAGATGTCTATTTTTGCGTTCAGCTACACCATTTTGTTGAGGTGTATAAGCACAAGAAGTTTGATGCAGGATACCGTGAGAAGCCATGAATTGTTTAAAAGAATGAGAAAGATATTCACGACCATTATCACTGCGCAAAACTCTAATAGAAACATCGAACAGAGTTTGAATTTCATTGAAAAAAGTTTGAAAGATATGAAATAATTCAGAACAATTTTTCATCAAAAATAACCAAGTGCATCTGGAATAATCATCAATGAAAGTAACAAAGTATTGAAAACCTAAAGTAGACTTAACGCGGCTAGGTCCCCAAATGTTAGAGTGAACCACGGCAAAAGGGGACGAAGCACCACGTGTGACACTACTAAGGAAAGGAAGTACGACTATGCTTGTCTAATTGACACAACTCACGCCAAACTAGACAAGTTATACAAGGCAGGGACAAGTTTCTGTAACTTGGAAGGACTTGGAAGACCTAACTGAGTACGAAGAAGAGAGAAAGACTCCATAACTGCACCAACATGTGTAGAGGGATGGAGATGATAAAGACCATGAGACTCATATCCTATGTCAATCACCTGTTTCGAACTCCGGTCCTGTAAACACACAGAATTGTTGGTAAAAGAAACAACACAATCAAAAGAACGATTTAGACGACTGATGGACAACAGGTTAAAAGGAGACTCAGGGACATAAAAAACATTATCAATGGTTAAAGAAGCGAAAAGTTTAACCGTTCCAACACCATGAGATGATACTCTAGAGTCATCAGCTAGTGTAACAGAAGGTAAAGGATTAGAAGAGGATAAAGAGAAGAACAAAGATTTGTTACTAGTAATATGATTAGTGGCTTTTGAATAAAAAACCCAAGGACCAGGAGAAGAGGATTGGGTCAGACCAGCAAAATATGTATCTGTGTGTGCGAAAAACATAGTGGAACTAGAAAATTGTTGATCCTTATACCATTTGAGAAATTTGTTGAACATAACAGGTGTGTCGGATGCATCAGAAGAAGGAGGATCTCCAGCAGACAAAGGTGAGGAAAGATTGGTCTGAACAATTGCAGCAGATCGAGGACGACGACCATACAATGTATAACACTTGTTAATCTTGTGACCTAACTTGCCACAATGTTCACACTTAGGACGTCATTTTCCCTGTTTGCGAGGACGAATCCGGTCATCACAGTGAGATGCCAACACAGAAGAATCATTAACAGAATTGAAAGTAGTAGAAGGAGTGGAAGAAGTCATGAAGGACAGGAGAACAAACCCTAAAAAAAATCCAAAGTAATCCAATCCACCCACGAAGCACAGATTCAAAACGAGAAGACCAAAATAAGTTCGTCGAGACTAAACGATGTAAGAGACAATAGACGACTAATTTCGATAGTGGTGATCTCAACGGCACAGTGATCACCTTACCGAAACGAACAAAACCGTATGTCATCGGTCAAAAATGAAACTCCGATGACGGCTCCAGCAACAGCTGCAGCGACAGTGACAGCAGTGTGAACCAGTACACCAGGTAAGTTTCCAAGAGAGAGAGGTGGGTCACTAATGGATACGCTTAAATACCAAGTATTTCCTTGTTAAAACCTTCATAGACATGCAATTTCACACTACCAAATAATATCCAGTAACAAAAATAACTATTTTCTGATGTGGAAGATTAGTTTAACCGGCAGCAGCGACGATGGCAACTTCAACAGTGGATAATGGTGAAAAAATTTCAAAATAACCTTAAGCTTTAGATACCATGTTGAATATAGAGAAAATACGGTTTGAGATAATCTCTCTTGTATATAAACCACACATAGGGTAATCTATTTATAATAGAAAGAGGTACAACTAGAAGAGTAACCGAAAGTAAACAAAATAAACAGAAGATATTGTTTGATATTATAGTTAACAATTTCTAACAATATCTAAACAATATCTAACATTACTGTTATTTCATTCCCCTTTAATTATCTGCTATGGATAACCCTAGTTTCAATAAGGTATGTATTTTTAAGATTTTAACATAAGGCCCAATTGATAAGATAACATCTCTACATTTTCATTGGCATTGGGTCCAATACCATGAAATCAAAATATTTTGTTTCTTTACATTAAATTGTGCAAGACTACAAGCTATTGGTCCCTATTATATAATACAATTAGTGCATGTTGGATTTAACTTATTTTGTAGAAGTAATCACATTATAAAGGGATTCTAAAAATCGAAAATTATTTCTAGGAAAATTTTCCCCATATACAAACACTCAGAAGAGGTAAGAGAACGGAAAGAAATCCCTTTAGAAAACATAGCTGCCAATCAGCCAAAGAGCTTCGTAAAAGAAAAAAGAAATAGGAATAAAGAATTTCTCTCAAAACACTCCCCACTTGATTCGATACTGATTGAAAAAAATGTCACATTTTAAACATGTTTTCAACAATTTGTTTCTATAAAATTTCACTCTAGCTACTGGATATAAATGATTCATGAGCCAAATCATAAAATGACCACACTCTAAAAATACCAAGCTTATTCGATTTACCTAGAATATTTCATAGGATTGAAAGAATATAAAGTGCAAAAAATATAGTAGAAAAATATTATAAACACAAAAGAGAACCAAATTCACCTTGAATTGTCATTCCTTACAGTCCTTGCATTACCAAATGCCTCTAAAAGTGGATTGGACTGAATCAAGTAAAAAGTGAGATTAGCATCCCATACTTAAATAGCAAAGGAAACTTACAAATAAATTAATCTTTGAATTCATAATTGATTAAGTTCAAGAACTGTTTACTTCAAGAACTTGCTGTTCAACTGTTCTATCATCACCAGCAGCACGTCCACCAACAAAGGTAAGATACTGCATAATCAATTTTGTTGTCTCAGTTTTTCCAGCTCCACTTTCACCGCTGACCAAGATAGATTGACTTTTACCTTCATTCATCATTGCTCTAAATCATGACCAACAAAATCTCACTAATTCACAGAATAAAATTGCAAGTAGCAAATAGTACAAAAATTGCAAATATAATACAGACACACCAAATGCACACTCACCTATAAGATGCATCGGCAACAGCAAAAACATGTGGGCTAAGTTCACCCAATGGAGCTCCCTTATATTGCTCCATCATATGGGAATCATATAAATGAGGAAGCTTTGTGAATGGATTAACAGCTATTAAAATGCTCCCTGTATATGTCTAGCCAAGAAAAACAAGTCAGGCAAAAAGCATAAAATGACAGTCCACATACAAGACAAAATGGTTCCCAGTTAATATTAGCAACCGCAAATGCATTAAAATCAAGAAAAGTTCATTCACTGAAATCCCAAAATAAGAACATCAGAGTTTTAAAGCCTGCATGTATTTGTATTAGTTCATAGATTTGAAATTGAGTATTCCAGCAGGTGATTGGTAAACAGTGCACTCATCAAAATCATCAATACAACTCCTCATAAACAAAAGCAACCATGTAATACGAAAAATACCAAAAGAAGTATGTAATATGGGTATGTTTTATATCCTTCTTATTCTTTGGCAAGAAAAATATTTTAAAACAATTCTACACTCATGCCAAAGCAATGTAATACGATCATCAAGAGCCTCATAAATGGAGTCATGGAAAACCTGATTAGCAAAAATTTGAATGGCAATGGTATTAATACAGTAAAAGGCATGGCAGTTTGTTGAGGTAAGCCAATGTTGGGCCAACAAGCATCGATCCCACATAATTTCACACCAAGTAGTAGACATAACCCAATAATCGGACTCAATGAAGGACTTGGAGACTCAGTTGTGTTTTTTACTCTTCCAAGAAACCATGTTTGGGCCAAGGAATACATACCAACAAGAGACAAAACATTGAGTATCAAAACAACCCACCTCATTTGCATCACTATAAGCAAGCAAAGTAAGTGGGGATCTTGAGGTAAAAATAATCCCCAATGTGAAGTACCTTTCAAGTACCAAATGATACGTGTGTCAAACAGCAACCATGTGAAGATGACAAGGAGTATGCATGAATTGACTTACTTGTTGAACTGCAAAGGTGATATCAAAACAGGTAATAGTCAAATAGTTAAGACTACCCACCAATTGACGATAGAATAAGGGGTCATACAAAATATCACCTTCATTGTGTGGATATTTGACATTTACTTTAGGGGGGGTATCAACAAGAGTAGCCAATTAAAGATCAGCCACAGAAACCAAATCAACAATTTATTTGTGTTGATGGAGAAAGACACCACTAGAGTTTGAATGAACCTTAAGACCCAGGATGTAGTGAAGACCACCAAGATCTTTCATATGAATAGAATTCTAGAGTTAGTGCATAAATTGGGTAATAGATGTGGTATCAGACCTCCTATTGACTATGCCATCAACATAGAGAAGAAGAACAACAATGTTAGCAACTGCATGATGAATACATAAAGAGGGATCATAATCACTCTGAGTAAAGGTGTAGTCAAGCATAGTAAATTGAAATTTGTTGCACCATGCTCGAGGAGCTTGGCACAAACCATGTTTAGACATATAACAACCCAAAGAGGAAATTTGAATAATGATTTTATTACTGAATAGTCCACTTTTGAACAAATGTGACAAAACAACTGAATTAAGATGACCCAACTTTCAATATCAATCCTCACATGAACTTGGACACCATTACATGAGCAACACGAACTAATTCACATTTGGGTCACAACTTCACCAGAAATTGGCCCCATTTGCTGACTTCATGTACTTGTCAGACAGCAACTAGCAAATCTTGGGAGACACCAGCATGGAGGATAGCTGAATACTCAACCCAGAGAAGAAACCAGAATAATAGGTAGCAATGTAAATCTCCATCAAAAAACATTTGGCAGCATTGTCCTAGTTGTAAACATGCTTCAAATAATCCCACATCTACTTAGCATTAGAAAAGGAGCATAGATTCTGTTCACCATGTAAGGATCAATAAGCCTTAAAATCAGAGTGAAGATATGTGCATCTTTTATCTCCCATGCTGTCAAGGGGGCAGTGTGGGCAGTGTTCGTGGGAGCAATAGAAGGACCATCAACATGGCTCCATAGCCCTTTGCCTTTCACAAACATCTTGAATCGGAACTCCCAAGTGCCATAATTTTTGCCAGTAAAGCTGACAAAAGGAGTCTTTGTGACCAAGAGGAACACAAGAACCAGAGCACCCAAAAGAAAAAAAAAAGGACAATATGAAAAGGAGGGAGCAAACCAACGAACCCCCAAAACTAAAAACCCCCATGCTGATTGCACAAGGCAAGGGCCCCAAACAAGCAGGCCAAACACAAACAACAAGACATCGGCGTGGAATCAAGCAGGACAACAGATAACGTTGTCACAGAACCAAAAGAGAACAATGCTACAGCTAAAAAGAAAGGCTCGCATCTCAAGCTTGGAGGCTCGCAATACCATGTCAATAAAATTGGCTTTAATGCCTCTTTGATTTTCCTTTTCTCTATATAATACAAGTACACTTATAGCCCATGATTACAAATTTTTTCTAATTTCTCATTTCTAAATGATAGATTGATTAGTAGGCTAACACAATAATACCGATAATAGAAATAAATAATAACAGATGCCCATGATTATGATTTACGTGATTTCCTTAATAATAGTTTTATCTTCCCCTTCTTTTGTTTGCTGTCCTGTTCAAGGGTGGGTGTGAATCATCAGGAGCAGACTTGGTGATGTGGGTGGAACCTAGTCCAGAGGTGGTTGTGCTGCGCTGGATATGCAGATATTTGTTCATAATTTCAAAAACTAAAAGAACACTGCAAAATCACCCACCTTATATATAATCACCTACCATACAATTCACAGTGTCTTTTCTTTGAATTTCAGTAGAATTGAATTGTTGAATATAATTGAGATATATGTGTAGAATTGAATTTACTTGTAAGCCAAACAACCACATAACCATACTGGAGAAATCCAAAAGCTGCTAAAACCTAAAAACAACGGTTCCGTATGAGAACTCCATTTTCCAACTATAATAAATGTCTATCAGTCAAAGCCTAAACCTCTAGTCAAGGGCAATTCAAAATCTACCAACTATCCACAATCAAACACTCACATAGATATCATTGAGCGCGTATCTTCTCCGAAGATTGAACAACACTCCCGGCTCGTTCAAGTACGCCAACCTCGTCATGTCTTCGAATCCGCCATGCTCCTCTTCATCCGCATCCCTCGGGAGGAGTTTCTCCTTGGAAGCAAACACCTGCACGAAAAACCTCCTTAAATTATCAAAATTACCACCAAATTCAAGTTCGCAACAGCGTGAACTCGCTCACCTTCTTGCCAGAATCAGTTACGAGCTGAAGCTTGTCACCGTCGGAATCGAGCACTTCAGCGGGTAGCCAAGCCGAATCCCGGTCCTCGACCCAAACCTTAGAGCCCTGGAGCAGATTCATGGCGTCGGTCACCGCGAAATGCGAAAGGAAGAGCAAATTCGAAACCCTAGAAGCAGAGAGACATGCAGCTGAAAGAGATAGAAAGAGAGAGACGCAGGCGATGAAAATGTCGGGTTCCCGCTCGAAGATGAGTGGAGACTATTGAAGTCAAAAATCAAACATGGCGAAGCAGCAGGTTACGTATTTATATCGTGGTAGGTACACGTCACCCAGTTTGTTGTGTGATACAGTTCGTTTTCAACTTTTCACTCACCATTTCAACTTGCCTTGCTTGCCTGTCTCTACTAACATGACGGTTCAAAATTTATTGCTGTCGCATTCGAAGCCAAAGAGATTTCAAAAAGAAAAACACATAATGTAATAGTTATAGTTTAATTTTTACACACATGTTACTTAAGGTGAAAATTTTTAAATAATCAATTACCACTCAACTAATAAAGGATGTATAGAGAGTCTATCCATTTAATTTATAGTAAAATTTAACTCTCATTATTAATTATTTAATCGTTAATTAAATGAAAAAAAAATCATATTATTGTGTATTCAAATATTTAAAATGCATTGGCTCTTTAACTCATAATAAGATTAAATTTATAAATTAAATAAATAACAAGACTGCAACGTTAATTAAGTCAACTTAAAATAAATACTTTTAGAATATTATTGTAGAAGGAAGAGCACAGGTTATTAATTTAGATTATTTTTGGTTTTTTATCAACAAAATTTTTTTAATCAATTCAAATTTAAATCATTATTATTAATTAAATAATCCTTTTTTTTCTTTTTATTATCCTTAGTCTTTTGAAATCTTAAAAAATAAATTCAATATTTTCGCTACATCATATGTTTCAGAATTTACTTTTTAGAAAAATAGCCCTTTCACAACTTAACATCCTCTTATTTTTATTGTATAACAATTTTAAATCAATTTTTCGAATGATAGATGACTATTACTATTTCAATTAGAATAAAACATAATTTATTTATAATATGACACATTTAATAATTTTCTATAAAAAAATTATTATCAACATATATAACAATGCTCATCAAATATTCCTTAAAATGTATAATTTATCCGTTACAAAAAGATATTATTATTCTTAATTTTTTTTTAAAACACTACTATGAATATATATATATTGTTAGAGCAGCCTTAAATTTTGACATGGGTACTATTAGATTAGCTTTTGAAGATGGCACCGTAAGAATATAGTCTTTTATAAAAATGTTTTGTTAATTTAAAAATAGAGGATTAAATAGTTTTATTTTATAAAAATTTAATCTTTAATTTATTGAAAATCGTTGGGTTAAAGTACAAAAGTATTACATTAAATAGTTTTAAAATATTATATTGGCGTGGGGATGTTCCTCATGTTGTAAAGATAGTCAAAGAATATTATGTTCTCTAGTAGAAGACTTTCTAGGAATAGAAATTGTCCCACCGAAGTTAGGACTTATTTATTCATGGTTTTTAGTTTATAAAAAAAAATATTTGATAAGTGTTTTGCTAAAATAGTTTTCCAAGAGTGAGGGACGGAAACAAAAATTTATTTTCATGGGACTAAAACTTTAATTAATGGAAACCGAATTTAAAAAAGATCGGATTAAGATTTTTATTAGGAACCTTGCATAGGATATTATGTCAAGTTACTTCTTCTAAGTATCAAAAAATCAACATTATCAAGAATATATATTTGAGACTTTCTGTAATGTCATAAAAAAAAGGCAAAATATAACATGAGGATAAAAACATGATATGTTAATAGTAATTAATATTGTCAAATGTATAAAAAGATTAAAAAAAAACAAACAAACTTTTAAATTTGAAGTTGTGTTCATCGTTGCTTCATAGTATAAAAGTCATCAATTATCATATTTGAAGTAACTTTTTCTGCAATCTCTTTCTCAATATATACAATCATGTAATCTGTAAGAAAATCATCTTCCATCTTGTTGCGTAACCTTGTTTTTATAATTTTCATAGCTAAAAAAGCACGTTTTGTAGTTGCAGTTGACACTGGAAGAGTCAACACAAGTCGTAATAATCTATCAACAAGAGGATAAAAGACAAATTTTCCCCTCTTAACTAATTTTTGACACAATTCACCACTAGTGGACAAACTTTGAAATTTAGTATGCTTGAGCACATCAAATTCATAATGTTGCAGCTCATATTCCAACTGGATCTTTTCTTGATCAGAGAAATCTGATTAGTAGAATTTATTAACAAGGCTACAAATATCACCAATACTAAATGACTTGAATGCATCTTTAGGATCCAAAGTTGTGCTCAATTTAAAAAGCTCAGTTGCTTGCGAATTGAATCTGTTGTTCAATTCTTTCAATTGGTAATCTATAACAGTATTAAAGATATCTATGCGATACTGATGCTCAACTGTCACAAAATCCTTTCTTCAAAGTGATCAAATAATGTTAGAGAAAGAAGCACTCATGTCAGGAATAGGAACACCTTGACTATTACAAAAATAAGTAACTTTTCCAATTAGTGCATCCCAACCAAAATTTCGTAACTTTTGAATTGATGATTTTGTGCTAGAAACCAAAGACATAGCATTCAAAATATCTTGAGATTTTTATTGCAAAGCTTGACAAAATTTGTCGGTAATTCCCATAATGTCTTTCATCACATGTAAAACAAAAACAAAGTCAAAAGAGATCAATGCTTTAAGAGCAAAAGTAGCATCACCTCGTTGAGAATAAGTAGATCCTTTAATGGTCAAATCTTCAAGGACCAAATTAGTTGCATTGTACAATCGAAAAAGACTACATATTGAATTGAAATGGGAGCTCCACCTAGTGTCTCCTGGCCTTTGTAATATGCTAATTTGATTAAGTCCTCTTCCAGTCTCAATCTCATCATTTGAAACCAAATGATCAACTTCATTTACAAATGTAGCTTACAACTCATCATTACGTTTACAAGAAGAACACACAACATTGACAATCATAGTCAAGTTTTGAAAAAAGGTATGAACATCAACTACTTCTTTCGCTGAAGCAACAAGAGCTAATTGTAATTGATGAGCTAAACAATGTACATAGTATGCATAAGGACATTCTTGAAGGATCAAAGCTTGTAAACCATTCCATTCCCCACGTATATTGCTAGCTCCATCATATCCTTGGCCCCGAACATTTTGAATGTTAAGATTATGATGAGATAATATTGAACAAATCCCATTTTAGGAGTGGATGATGTAGTGTCTCTCACATGTATCATATCCAAGAACCGTTCTCTGATATACCATTTTGTCAACAAATCTAATAACAAGCGTCATTTGTTCTCTCTTAGATTCATCACGAGCTTCATCAACAATCAAACAAAATTTTACATCACCAATATCTTGTCTTATTTCATTTTGCACCTTCCTTGCATACACTGTGAAATCTCTTTTTGAATTGTAGGTGAAGTGTAATTTGCATTTTGAGGGGAATTTCCCAAAACAACTTCATCTACTTCTTAATTATAACAAGCCAAAAGCTTTACCATTTCAAGAAAATTACCTTGATTTCTAGATCTCATGCTTTCATCATGCCCTCTAAAAGCACAAGCTTGAAATGTCAACCATCTAACAACATCCACCGAGGCTTTAAGACGCAACCGATTATTCAAAACTTGTTGTGAAGTTTGCTTACATAACAATTTATCAACATGACAAGATTGATTTTTAAAATCTTCACAAGATTTGAGAGCAACATTATGAGATGAATTAAGACTTCTTCCCATATGAGATAAAACTAGACAATCATTACCACTATTTACTTTTTTCTAATGCCTAAACCCTTTTGAAATGAATAGACTTATTTTTTAGAAAATAAATAGCATGGAAAGCAAAAGACTGCATCTTTTTCAGGTGAATACTCCAACCAAGGAAAATTTTTAAACCAATGTGATTGAAAACGGCGAGGATGATTTTCATCACCAGAAAGTGGATACACATCCATTAAAAACTTATATGGACCAAACTTAAGGCATTTCATCCTGCTGATTAGTAAGATAATTCCAAATTGGTGGACGTTTTCCAAGATCACGAATTAAAGTATCAATATTAACTCTTTCCTCAATCCTTGAAGACTTAGACCTATGTGGTTGGACAAGTTGCTCTATTGTTGATACTCTTGGTTTTTCAACATCAACAACTCTTTGAACATTACCAGGTTGTGTTTCTTCTTCATCTCTTTCTTTCTTTTAAAAAAATAATCAATTGTTTTTTTCTTATGCATCTTTTAACCTAGTGGAAATAAAAAAAAAATAGAAACAAAATTTGAGGAATTGAACTCCAATTTGAGGAATTTAGCTCCAATTTTTATAATAACCTATAATAATAGAAATAGAAACAAAATTTAAATATTGCCTTGTTTTGTTTGCCCAACATAACCCCACGTATTCCCTATGACGAGTTACGTTTTTTTGTATAAAAAGGGAAGAAAAGCAAGACATAGAGAAAGTAAGAAACAATATAAAAATGGAAGTATCCAATAAATAAAAATGTAAACTTACATTTTCAAAGTGGATGAGGTTGAATTGAAAGAGACAAATGGTGGACCAAAGTCAGTCAATGCAGAAGATTTTTGTTCTTTCTTGTAATGGTTGAGTTTTGAAATGTGAGAGATTAAAGTTTTTTAGTCTGAAGAGGAAACAAAACAAGTGTTCTTTGTTTTGAAGAGAGAGAAAATAACAAACTTGTCAAACAAGCTGAGTCTTTTATTTTTTTTTAATTAAAAAAATTGAGAAAGTGGATTGCTTTGTATTTGATGGAAGTGACTCAATAGTATATAATAGAGAGAAGTTAACATATCATGGGATAGTAGATCATGGGGGCCAATATTTTTTTTATTCATAGTACTCGGAAAAATTACTAAAGTTTGGGGTGAACATGACTCCATCATGCCACCTCTTCTCTCTGCCTCTGCCAAGAGTAATTTTTTATTTTTTTTATTTTAAAAGATTAAACCTGATTATAAATATTTTTTTT